TCTATTATATTAGCAACGAAAATTCGTTACAATGAAAACCTTATCCGCTACAGCTTAGAATATAGAACATAATGCACAATCACCTATAGGTAATCATCATTTACATAATAAAATACTAAAACTAACTAAAAGACTATAACTACTTAAGAAGCTACATTACTTAAATTGTTTCTTTTTAAATTTAGTGGGGTATATAATGCCCGACAAGGTTTTAGTGATGTTCTCAGAATGTATTTAAAGAAGACACATTCCGGAGATAGTTTTTGTTTTTAAATAAAATGAAAATAAACGAAACTATATCGAACTGACTTTTCCTCGCACTAATATATTTAAAGCGATGAGCAATATTACAGATTATATTATTAACATAATTTATATGTAAAAAAAATTGTTGTTTGACTTTTCTTTTTTTTCTGTTTTGTTATTTGATTTTAAACAAAGTAGAACATTTTGGATGACAATATAGAGAAAATAAATTAAAAAAGATAATCAAAGATCTAATGTAAAATGCTATGTTCATAGACACTTTAGCGGCCTCTGATCTTACGAGTACTTCATGACATCCGAGGCGGCTAAACTGAGAAAATAGCCCACTTCTGAGTTTCTGAGAGATAGATATATGTATACGTCTATAATATAGCTATTCGCTGTACATACTAATATTTGTGGGGAACGTGTGCCGTGTGAACCGAAGTCTCTTAACGAGCTGTATTCGTATCTCCGATCGTCGACGCAAGAGACAAGAAAGCTGGAAGCATATGATCATTTTCGCATTTAGTTTTTTATTGTTATAAATACGTAATATTGTTTATTATTATATTACGTAATTAAAATTTATTTATTAAAATAAAGTCATTTAATGACTCTAATTTAATAACTTATAAAGAAATAAAAGTTTTCTGTATTTTTTTTTTGTTTCGGTAATCTGAGAAAGACCCTTTTTACTGGAAACGAGGTATTCCATCTTAGTCCTCACGGATGACAACGCATCTGCATTTTGATTAGTAATCGAGGATAGATGTAGATGTCCTTGGGCCACAGCAGTCACTTACCATCAGGTGGACTGTGTGCTCGTTTGTCACCCTATCCTGTAAAAAAAGTATCAGAATACGTTAGTCACACACTAACAAAACAATAAAATAATATACGGCCAGCAATGTCGTTCAGAACCGAAGCCAGTTTTTATATCCAATAATTAAATCGGCAGTTTTTCATATATTATTTATTAGGGGGAAAATATATATTATTTATATATTTTTCTCTCTATTCAATTCAGTACCCTAATCTTTGTGAGAGGGCTTTTATAAAGACTCTCCCAAAAGTTCCTACTCTCATTCTCCCAATTATTTTTGCTCTATATCCATTCTACAGTTTCTTTAAAAAAATTTAGAATACTGTATTTACAAGCAAATTTCTACTTTTATTTCTAAATATAACCTACTGAGTATTATCAGTTCTACTACTGCTTTAATTAACGTCGCATGTTATATAAGACCAGGTATGGAAGAAAAAAAGTAACACTTCTGGTACTAGTTGATTTCTCAAATGCTTTCATCACAGTTGATCATGAAATCCTTCTTTGCATACTGTCTCATCTAAATTTTGGCCATTTGGAAATGATAGCATATTAGAATGGATAACATTTTTGCGGTCGAACACAGTCAGTATGTGTGGGGCAAATAAACTCCGATCGGGCTGATGTGGCAGCTGGTGTGCCGCAAGGCGTTATTCTTTCTCTATGCTATAAGCAAACGACCAGTTTCAGAATTATCGTTATCTGCATTAAGGTCTAAATTCAAATGAATGTATGTGCGTTTTTTGGAATTTGCCAAATTTCATGAATTTACGTCAACGGGAGTGAGTTTTTAAATATCACAATATGTGACTGTCCGTATTTTTAACGGGTTGAAGAATATTAGAAACGATTTATTTGAGCCGATTGAGTACCGTGGAAAGATTTTTTCAAAATGTATTAAAAGTGAACGGTGACGTCTGCCGGTAAATGTTAAAAATATAAATAAAAACAAACTAAACCTACGGCCAACTAAATTGAATACAGCGATAGTAAATTATTACCTTTACAAATTTAAGTCTGTCTGATATAAACAAAATTTAATTTGCGATATTTATAAATGAAACATAAGAATTGTGTTAAAAATTTAATTTTGCAAATAATAATAAAGTACTCTCAATTATTTTTTTACAAAAATATACAATATACAGACACCTGTTAATTTACATTTTTATAGAATAATGGTGTCAAACGAGCACACAGTCCACCTGACGGTAAGTGGATGCTGTGGCCCATAGACATCTACATTTATCCTCGATTAAGAATCAAAACGCAGATTAGTTGTCACCCCTGAGGACTAAATCTGAATTTATCGTTTCTAGTAAAAAAGGGTCTCTGAATCTCTACACCCACCACACGAAGCACATCAATATTACGCTGCTATTTCACGCTGGTATTCTGTGAGAGCGTGGTCTTTCCCCGATCGAACCGACCCATTGGTGCTACAATCATAATGTAGCTGCAGCGTGGCTCTACCACGTATAAAACATTTTTATTATATATTCCAATCTGGCACGTAAGTTGATCGAGAATCTTTGTGCTTTCATAAATTAATAAAATACACGTAAATTTCGACTTGAATTTGTTATGATTTTGAAACTGAAGAAACGAACGATAATAGGTTATAACTAGTTACGACCTCGCGATCTTCATTAAGTCACCGCGTCATGAATTAAATTACTTCGGTATTAAGAATTTTAAATTAACTCGGCTGTAACATCGAAAGAATTCAGTATACACTTGTTTAAATTCCACAACCACATTACCGTACGAAAATAGTCCTGTAACAGGCAACGGGCGTGCTTTGTTTTCCCACGCGAGCGTTCAGCTTCGACAGTTTACTTGTTGCGGTATTTAACAGCCACGATGATAGTATTAATGTATAATTAATAAATGAACACCGTATTTTCCCCTCGTTTTGGCCCGATGTGATTTCTGTACAATCCCAGCCTTAGATTACGCTTAATGAACTTATTATGCATCATCCTTGAAATATTTAATTATATAATTACGTTAAATTTCACTTTGGTTCTAGCCGGAATGGTTTAAACAGTATTACTACGAAATAACCTTTAAACGTTTGACCTGCGCAGTATAGATAATTAAATATAAATGATAATTACCATTCAGGAACGTAGAGGAAAAATTAGTTTTCAACGTTATGTTTTTCTTACACGCAGCATTAACGATGTAAAAATTTTTACTATCTATTATATGCAGGATATTTTCAAAAAATTGCTTTTTAACTTCCCGCTTTGAAAATTTAATTTCAAACGTAGGAAGTTATAGATTTCATTCCGATTTTGAGAATGCGAGTTTCCGTCAGATCTCCACGTTTTGAGAACCTCAATCCTAGGAAGGAAGCCATTTTGACTATTACAGGCTCGACGTCCGGCTGAGACTTCGAGATGATTAGATTTTGTGATCAGTCTATTGTTCAAGCCGTTTCAAAGATTTTCAAAAAATAAAAACCAAAAAATGCTCTTTAATTTTTTTTTAAACAACTTTCAAAATATTTGATTAATCAACTCCAGACATCAAAAACACTTTTTTGTACTTAAGTAATCTGCATCGAGTACCGCCAAGCAGAATCGAACGGTGCATTCAAAAATTATAGCCCTTTAAACGTCTCAAATAATCATTTCGAGCTTAAAAACTAAAGAGATTTTCGAGCGATTCAATTTAAATTAAGACGCGTTTTGCAAGTAGTTAAACTTTTATTCATGTTATAGGTAACTAAAAATATATTATTATAATAATAACAAAACGAAACCTTGTAAAAAATTTAAACGTCAGTGTCCACATGCGCAAATCATTCTATAATATGATTCAACTTTAGTTGTAATACTAGTTTCTAAGACATTATTCTCCCCAAACCAGAATTATGCAACTTTTAAAAAACTTTTTATCGTTGTCACTCAAGTGCTTCGCTTATTCTCTTCATTTGTAGCGCTATTCAGGGCTCAATTTTATAGAAAATTAATATCAACGAAATAAGCAGTATAACGGTGGTTGTTAACATATAAATTCATAATAATGACTTGGAGCATCGCGACGCTAGCATATACGACCGCATTATGCAGATATCATCGGGCTGTTAAATACCGCAACAAGTAAACTGTCGAAGCTGAACGCTCGCGTGGGAAAACAAAGCACGCCCGTTGCCTGTTACAGGACTATTTTCGTACGGTAATGTGGTTGTGGAATTTAAATAAGTGTATACTGAATTCTTTCGATGTTACAGCCGAGTTAATTTAAAATTCTTAATACCGAAGTAATTTAATTCATGACGCGGTGACTAAATGAAGATCGCGAGGTCGTAACTAGTTATAACCTATTATCGTTCGTTTCTTCAGTTTCAAAATCATAACAAATTCAAGTCGAAATTTACGTGTATTTTATTAATTTATGAAAGCACAAAGATTCTCGATCAACTTACGTGCCAGATTGGAATATATAATAAAAATGTTTTATACGTGGTAGAGCCACGCTGCAGCTACATTATGATTGTAGCACCAATGGGTCGGTTCGATCGGGGAAAGACCACGCTCTCACAGAATACCAGCGTGAAATAGCAGCGTAAGACCTCATTCGCACGAGAGCTTTTTTAACTTCCGTTAAAAAAGCGTTCAAATAGAACAAATGATTCCCAAGTATATGTTCACACATAAGCGCTTTTTAAACGCGGCGCTTTTTTATCGAGCAGTGTTGTATTTTCAACGCTGGGCGTTAGGCGTTAAAAGAAATAGATCATATGAAACTTCTTATTATTATTCACACGAGCGCTAAAAAAGCGCCGGCGCTGCATTCAGTGACCCGCGCTCTCGCTTAGCAGTCGGGCGTTTACGTCATTTGAAATTCGATACGATGTCGTGGGTTGTAGATCCTGAAGTGCTTATAATAGAGGTGGAGGCTCGGCCATTTCTATATGCAAAGACTGCCAGAATACTCAAATAAAATTATAAAGAATAATGCCTGGGAGGACATAACCAAAAAACTCTCAGAGGGCTGGGAAACCCTCAAAAATGATGAAAAAAATAGTCGATGTAAGTAAATAATGTACCTTTCTTTATTTAAATAATCAAATAGATAGGTAGGTATATAGTTATTTATCTTTAGTCACCGTTCTGTCTATTGATAACTTGGTATTGCCATGGAATAGAACCTTGTGGCGATGTGAAATATTTAGTAAAATAATCACGTATTTGTAGACCCGTGTGGTTACTTCTGAGACCTGTCGATTGTAGTGTCAAATAAAGTATCATCAAATTGGAATCCATCTTTAGTTCTTACAAGATTGTGTAGAACGCAACATGCTTTAACTACTGATATAGTGCGATCAGGTTGAAGATCTCTATAGCTCGTGTTAAAATTCTCCACTTGTTTGATAGAATACCAAAACTGCATTCAATCATTCTTCGTGCTCGTGTTAATCGATAATTATAAACACGTTGTTGCACGGTCAAGTTGCTGCTCGGATATGGTCGCAAAACATATTCAGATAGGGCAAAAGCCTCGTCGCCAATAAAAACAAACGGCATAGGTTTCCCACTCGGATCATTCGGTAGCGTTTTCGGTTCTGGTAAATGGATTTGGCCCGATTCTGCTGTATTTTTAAATACGTTTGAGTCAGAAGAACCGCCGTATGCTCCTACTTCAATGCAAGTGAAACAATAGTTTGCATCACAAATTGCCATTAAAATTATAGAAAAATAATTTTTATAATTATAGTACAATGAACCGCTCTGATCGGGCTGTGCTATTTCAATATGTTTGCCATCAACAGTTCCTATCACATTGGGAAAATTAGTGCGGTGATAAAACTCTTCTGATATTTTTTCAAAGTCTTCCTTTGTTTTTTCTGGCATATACATAGGTTTTAAAGAATTCCGTATTGCGTCGCAGACTTGTTTAATAATATAATGTATGGTAGACACTCCAAGTAAAAACTGGTAATGTAAGTCATGAAAACTGTTGCCTGATGCTAGAAATCTGTAAGAAATCAAATTTTATGGCACATTAATGATTTTTACTTTTCAGGTAAAGAAATACTAGCAAAGTGGAAACACTTAAGGGACAACTTCCGTTGTGAATATCAAGCGCAAAAAGATGTTACGTCAGGACAAGGTGTAAAAAAGAGAAAAAAATACAGATATTACGACGAATTACTATTTTTAGTTCCACACGTCAAAGATGCAAAAACTTCTGGAAACTACAGCATTCCAACAAATGTACCAGAGCAAAATACTAGAAGCCCATCAACATTTAATACTGAAAATTCACCCGCTGGACCTTCGACTGCCACTTGTAATGTTACAGAGACTCCAAAAAAGAAAAAGAAAACTACATCATCCTTTGAAAGTGAAATTTTGAAGGCCATCAAAAATGAGTCTGGAATGGACGAGGATAAAACATTCTGTTTATCATTGGTTCAATTACTAAAAAAAGATGCATGATGATAGCAAAATGTTAGCTAAAATAGAAATATTAAAAGTACTTCGCACTTTCACAAACAGGACGCAAAATACATACAGCCAGCCAGTCAGACAGCCTAACCAAAACCACCATTTAACAGAACAAACATTGAACCATATTTCAGTCACCAAAGTTTTAACTTTTCACCTCAACCAACACCCATAACTCATACCAACTCACAACCAACATCAGCTCAAACTCGTAATCTGTATCAGCAGTACTCACAGTCTGACATCCCGTTCATTTATACTCAGACCCCGCAGCAGCAGTACTCACAGACAAAGTTCACTCAAGCCAGTAATATATATCAGCAGCAGCATTTAGAGTCACAACCAACTCTGACCTTGCATCAACCCTCATCCGATCCCGAACATCCATCAAAAGTTATTAAGATTTTAGAGAATCGTCAATACCGCGCCGCTAATTTTGCACAAAGTTCTAGGCCACAATCTGCTCAGAGCTTTCTTACGACTTTCAACCCAAATATTTGCCCATCTCCATCGGACACTGACCTGTCAAGCTCAACAACTGCTCAAAGCCCATTGATTAATAATATAAATTCACCAGAAGACTTGTCTCCGAATGATTGGCAAAAAAAATGTTTTTCCAACGATGCCTAAAAAAAACAACCAAAACAGTGACAACTCATCTGAGTTTTGATTCTTAATAGAGGATAAATGTAGATGTCTATGGGCCACAGCATCCACTTACCGTCAGATGGACTGTGTGCTCGTTTGACACCCTTATTCTATAAAAATGTAAATTAACAGGTGTCTGTATATTGTATATTTTTGTAAAAAAATAATTGAGAGTACTTTATTACTATTTGCAAAATTAAATTTTTAACACAATTCTTATGTTTCATTTATAAATATCGTAAATTAAATTTTGTTTATATCAGACAGACTTAAATTTGTAAAGGTAATAATTTACTATCGCTGTATTCAATTTAGTTAGCCGTAGGTTTAGTTTGTTTTTATTTATATTTTTAACATTTACCGGCAGACATCACAGTTCACTTCTAATACAGTTTGAAAAAATCTTTACATGGTACTCACTCGGCTCAAATAAATCGTTTCTAATATTCTTCAACCCGTTAAAAATACGGACAGTCATATATTTAAAAACTCACTCCCGTTAACGTAGATTCATGAAATTTGGCAAATTCAAAAAAACTAATTGCGAAAATGATCATATGCTCCCAGCTTTCTTATCTCTTGCGTCGACGATCGGAGATACGAATACAGCTCGTTAAGAGTCTTCGGCGCACACGTTCCCCACAAATATTAGTATGTACAGCGAATAGCTATATTATAGACGTATACATATATCTATCTCTCAGAAACTCAGAATTGCGCTATTTTCGCAGTTTAGCCGCCTCGGATGTCACCCCGGCTTTAAACTCGTAAGATGAAGTACTCGTAAGATCAGAGGCCGCTAAAGTGTCTATGAACATAGCATTTTACATTAGATCTTTGATTATCTTTTTTAATTTATTTTCACTATATTGTCATCTAAAATGTTCAATTTTGTTTTAAATCAAATAACAAAACAGAAAAAAAAGAAAAGTCAAACAACAAATTTTTTTTACATATAAATTATGTTAATAATATAATCTGTAATACTACTCATCACTTTAAACATATTAGTGCGAGGAAAAGTCAGTTCGATATAGTTTTGTTTATTTTCATTTTATTTAAAAACAAAAACTATCTCCGGAATGTGTCTTCTTTAAAATACATTCTGCGAACATCACTAAAACTTTGTCGGGCATTATATACCCCACTAAATTAAAAAGAAACAATTTAAGTAATGTAGCTTCTTAAGTAGTAAATAGTCTTTTTTTAGTTTGTTTTAGTATTTTATTATGTAAATGATGATTACCTATAGGTGATTGTGCATTATGATCTATACTCTAAGCTGTAGCAGATAAGGTTTTCATTGTAACTAATTGTCGTTGCTAATATAATAGAAAAAATAAAAAGTAAAACATAGATCAATCGGTACATTTATTACTTATAAACTTATTAAAGTACGCGTTGATTTTTTTATATGAAATACCATTCATACTTTTATAATTATGTTTACATCGCTTGTAATATTTAATCAACAATTTCATTGAAGCAGATTATGGACACACTCACCAGTTCAAATGAAAGAGCTCAGAAGCATTCCAACAAGACAATGCAATAAATGTAGAATAAATATTTTATTTAATACTTTCACAGATTTCTAAATTATGTTTTCCTTTTGGGAAATTTTTAAACAAGTTGTCAACTTCAAGAGTCTGCTGAACAGCAAAAGTTATAGTGGCACAAGTATACACGGAGCACAGTATAATAAAGACATACACGAAAGCACCTACTCGTCATAGCCTAACCGTGAGAAACTAGGGCACAAAAAGACTTGTAGTAAAACTTATCTCATAGTAGGAACCCCAGAGGTACCGCTACATACAAACGGCTCACTGCGACTATACCCATCCATAGCGCAGCGATGTGTGCGTGAGCTCACACCGACAGGTTCACCGACGCTCCGTCGTGGTACAAACTGGTTTGCGGTGGCTCAGAGTATAAATAAAAGGGTTGTTAGTCGTATGCATTTTAAAAAATGGAAGGACAATATTTCTTAATTTTATGTATTAATTTTTTTAAGAATTTTTAAAAAGTTAAGTTTAGAGATTGTTTATTATAAAATAAGACATTATAGATTTACATAAGTAATTAATTAGTGTTCTGTATAAATTAATGCCTAACAGTTGTACATTATGTATAAAAATTCGAGAGCAAATAATACACTTGCCAGACAGTGGTGAAGCTGGTGTTAGTGGTAGTGATGCTGGTGTTGGTGGTAGTGCTTAGAACACCTATTTCCTTAAAATTCTCTTGTAGGGATCAGCGCAGTTTTTAATTGTAAATTGCAAGTATTTTCTCAATATTCACACCGCTTTACCCCACAGCAAGATTCAATAAGATATAATACATACTATATATATAAGCAAAATATACTATTTTTGGAGTTTTAATTTAAGTTGCAAGAAATGGACATGTTTTTATATTAATTTGAGTTACAATGAAATCATATTTTGTTTTATGCTATATAATATTGTTTTTTTTTTTTTGATTAAATATTTCATATTCATCAGGTGACAACCCTACCAAAATAGATAAACATTTTCGACGTTGTTAGGAAGCTTCCTCTCTGGTCTTTATTTTGTGGTAGGAAGGCGAAGATACAGTTATTCGGCAGGAGCGTTTACAACACAATCCGAAGCAAAATCAACAAAATTATGTTTTAAGCATACTCGTACATGTAGTAGACTGGCGGAAAGGAGACAATCAATTTTTGTATGGAGAATGGGCCCACCACAAATTTTCGCGTCACGCAATGAAATGGATGTCGATTTATTCCTTATAATTTATAGTTTACAAAAGTAATATTAGTTTTACCACATCTAGACGGAAAATCGAGAAATTGACAATTAAAATATGAATTTTAAAATAACCTATAAATAAACTAAAAGCTATTTATAGTGGTTTTTACCGGTATTTTAAGTTAAAATAGTGCACTGTTGAATAATAGTTCATATAAAACCAAGTTGTAGGTACATTCAGCATTTTCAGGTACTTCAATATTTTTAGTAGTTACGGCAAAATATAGTGCCTGTCTGTGTACAAATGTGGTATGGATACAATTTTTTACATATATTGATTGTGAGTGTACTTCCCAATTACCGTTAAAATAATATGAATAAATTCAAGATGACTAAGGTATAATATATCCATTTATATTTACAATATTACCAACACACGTTATATAGTAAGAAAGATGTTTTAAACTGACTGTGTAAAAAACAAGTTATAATGCAACCGTATTTATAGATGGTAAATCATCATTTCCAACATAGTCTATATAATTCAGACATATAATTCAGATCTATTTATGCAGACAGACAGACAGGCCCGGTGTCAAGACTTTTTTTAATATGCTTTGGTTGATTATTAAATACCTAATTATACATCTTAAAATGACTGGGTTCTAAAATACCAAAATGACTAGGTAATATCATGCTTATCTGTTATTACACACTGATAAATTGTGAGGAAGTAAGATGTTTTGAACTGTTTGTGCCAGGATAACAAACACACAGGTATAGTTTAATTGTATTTATTATTAGCGATCCGCCCCGACTTCGCACAGGTGATTTCTGGATTTCGACAACAGCGCCACCTACCGAGTCCATATGTGAATATGAATCATATAGAGACCCGTTCAAACACATAAACATATCATCAAAATCGCTTGGATGGTTTCTAACGGACATAGGTAGAAACATTTTTCGTGTTTTCATATCAAAAGATCATATTAAAAGATTTTTTCAAAATAACTTGATGGTAACATTTCTATTTATGATACGATATTGATATGTAATAAGTCCCAAAGATCATGTATAATCACTGCATTAATTATGGTTAAAATCGTCAGTGTTTTATGAGTCCTCTTTTAAAAATAACACAGCAGACAGGTGCAGTGCCGGCCCTTTGTTCATTAAAGTATTCATCTATTAGCAAGTATAAATCCCATACATCATTAAAATATAATGTCTCGCCCGTTTACGATATTATTAGAAATCAGAAGGATATTGTCAATTAAAAGAGATAAAAAAGGGTGCCAAAGCAATAAATTCAACTTTGCTCGGCGTTTATTTATAAATTACACATATAACATAATATATAACAGATAATAAAGCACACAGTAAAATAGAAATAGTTCAAATAAGCAACAAAAATTACAATTTTTAGTCATCATTATTCATCATCATTACAACAGTCCACTGCCGAACATATGGCTCCTAAATTAAAGATATAATGTAAAATATTACAGAGGCCTTCCGTGAATTGCCATCACGTTCCGTCCCGTATGGTGTCGTTAAAGTCGACAGAATAAAATAAAAATACTAGGAGATGGGGAGCAGCATCTT